TTTAAAAATTGTTAAATTTTTTTTGGCTGTAACAGCAACAAAATTTTCAGGGTAAATTTTGAATGAGCTAAAATGTACGAACGCTTAGCCCTAAATGTCAGAGTGCGCCCTGCTGGAGAGAAATAAGAGTACTGCATACGGCAAGAGTACCGTATTTATATTACATTCAAGCAGATTACAAGAAGTATTTTATTGATTGTGGTTATATACGCAAATTAAAAAGAAGGGTAGTAACACCCTCACCAAATGCACTACAAATCAAAAAAACATTCTCGTACATTAACATTATTAATGTGACATAATTATTTTCAACCACTAAATCGAATTAATTTTCATGCCGTGCAAAAATCATTCCATGAATATGGCACGGCACTCAGTAACCAAGACATAAATATCGAAACCACAGCAACCACAACTTAAACAGCCTAATTTAATTTTTATTCTTAATTTGACAATTTGCGTGAAGCTAATTTATGTTTATTAAAGTTTAAACAAGATGATTTTTATTGATAAAAATTAACATCAAATATAGGTATGATGATTTCCTATTGTAGAATTATGTAGACTTATACTACACCAATATTTATTCATCACTCATATAAAGCTTTTATTATTCCCACAACTCATTTGGTTTACCAGAGAAAAGAAGTTCAACTTTAAAGTTCTATCTAAGAACTTCACTTGCAGATTTACAGATTCAACTGGGTAAAGTCACCCAGTATACCTACTTTGCACGTAAAGGTTCTTCCCAAAGTGTCTTCTTAAAAGTTCTCAAAAGAACTGTTCACAAGTTTTACTTAAAGATTCTGCTTAATGGTTCTAATTCATTTTAGTCTTTTAAATTTTTATTTAAAATTATTCGTAAAGTTTCTACTAAATAGTTTTACTGTAAGATTTTACTAAAAATCTTACTTAAAACCCATATAAAAAACTTCCACTTCAAATTTCTACGGAAAGGTTCTAACAGCAAATTGTGCTGAAAGGTTCTACTTAAATGTTTTACTTAAAGGTTTTACTTCCATCCGCACGAATGATATGCTAAGAGACCTCAGAATAGACTCGGTTAAAAAATATATAAAGGACAGAGTCCTGAAGCTATATGTAAAAACTGACACGCTGCCTTACATAGCACTATCTAATATCAGAGCAGTCACTAGCCGTACGGAGCGGTATGAAGATCTTAGATCAGTCATCGAATATTCAACGAAACTGGTGAGGAATACATACATTAGTTAAAAAGAAAGGAGGTGCTCTATGCAAACCCCCCAGCTAAGAAAGATTAAAAGTACCCTGTTGCACTAACTCGAAAAAACCTCAACATGAGACTTAGAATTTTAACTTTAAAATTTTAGTAAGTTGCTACACATATTTAAATGTTCCATTTAGTAGACCTATTTAATGGATCTACCTAAAAGTTCTGGCTAAAACATGTACTTGAAGGTTTTACCCAAAACTACTACTTAAAGATTTTATTGAATGATCCAACTTATGTTTTGCCTAAAATTTTTACTGAGAGGTTTAAATTCAAAGTTCTGCTGGAGGGTTTAAATCAAAGTTTTATATAACATGTTCTTTTTAATCTATTTAAAGGTTCTTGTTAGCATAGCAACTTTAAAGTTCTAGTTAAAGGTTATAACCATGGCTTTGAACCCTGAACTCTATTGAATTATTTCTCTTAAAGACTTATCAGAAACATTGGTAAAAAATTTATGTCATAATTTTCTTAAAGATTTAATACAAAAATTCTACTTAAACTTTCTATTAAAAAATGTCCACTTAAAAATTCTATTCTTAAATTCTATTGAATTTAAATTTTTTTTTAAATTCTTATTATAAGATCTACTTAAATGTTTTACCTATGGATACAATTCCATGGTTTTTCTTAATAGTTCGTTTAAAGAATTCTACTTATAATTTCTTTGTAAAATTTTCTGAAAATTTTATTTAAAAATTCTACTGAAAAGTTATGCTGAATGGTTCTGATACAAGATTCTTCTTTAATACATTTAAAACTTTTACCTAAAACTTTTCATTAATGATTTTATCCACAGATTCTATTGAAAAAATTCTACACAAATGATCTACTCCAAGCTTTAACACGATTTTCTATTAAAATCTTATACCTAAATGTTCTACCTAAAAGTTCCAAATTAAAAATTCCATTGTAATTTCTGTTAGATTTCATAATTAACAGATCCAGAATTTTTCAAGACTTTAGATTCAACTCTTTTTTTTAATGGTTCCACTTAAAAGTACTACTTAAAGGACCTATTTAAAGTATTTAATTAAAGTTTCTAATATACACGTTATTCATATTTTCCACTTAAAGCATCTACTAAAGGCTAAAGGATCTAAAGGCTCTACTTAAAGGATTTACTTGAAGGTTCTACTTAAAAATTCTACTTGAAGATCTACAAACAGCTTCTACTCAAATGTCCTACTTAAAGTTTCTACTTACAAATTATGCTTAAAGAATACACCTAAAAGTTATATTTAACGGTTCTACTTAAAGGTTTAAATTAAAGATTGTACTTGAAGGTTCTACTTAAAGATTTATCTTAAAGGTTCATCTTAAAGGTTTTACTTAAAGGTTCAACTTAAAGGTTCTGCTTAAAAGATTTATTTAAAATTCTACTTAAAGGTTTTACTTAAAGGTTTTAATTGAAGATTCTACTTAAAGATTCTTCTTAAAAGTTCTACTTAAAAATTCTACCTAAAGGTTCTATTTAAAGATTCTATTTAAAGGTTCTAGTTAAAGGTTCTAGTTAAATGTTCTACTTAAAGATTCTACTTAAGGGTTTACATACAGGTTCTACTTAAATTTTCTACTTAAAGTTTCTACTTACAAATTATGCTTAAAGGATATACTTAAAAGTTATATATAACGGTTCTACTTAAAGGTTCTACTTGAAGGTTCTACTTAAAGTTTCTACTTAAAGTTTCATCTTAAAGCTTTTACTTAAAGGTTCAACGTACAGGTTCTACTTAAAAGATTTACTTAAAATTCTACTTAAAGGTTTTACTTAAAGGTTCTACTTGAGGATTCTACTTAAAGATTCTTCTTAAAAGTTCTACTTAAAAATTCTACCTAAAGGTTCTATTTAAAGGTTCTAGTTAAAGTTTCTACTTAAAGGTTCTACTTAAAGATTTTACTAAAAAATTCTACTTGAAGGTTCTACTTAAAAGTTCATCTTAAAGGTTCATCTTAAAGGTTTTACTTAAAGGCTCTACTTGAAGGTTCTACTTAAAGATTCTTCTTAAAAGTTCTACTTAAAAATTCTTCTTAAAGGTTCTACTTAAAAGTTCATCTTAAAGGTTCATCTTAAAGGTTCATCTTAAAGGTTTTACTTAAAGGTTTTACTTAAAGGCTCTACTTAAAGGTTCTACTTAAAAGTTCATCTTAAAGGTTCTACTAAAAAATTCTACTTAAAGGTTCTACTTAAAAGTTCATCTTAAAGGTTCCACTTACAAGTTCTACGCAAACGTTCTAGTTAATGGTTTTACTTAAAAGTTCTATATAACTATTTTAATTAAATCAGAACTTTGTA